AATAATATAACACTGAAATTATTTTGAAAAGGTTTTTATTTTTACGTTACAGTTTATTTAAGTGTTTTCACTTTTTTTCTTCAGTTTATCTAAAGACAGATATATTTCTGCACGTAATTATTTTTAAATTAATTTTTTAGGTTATAAATTATTTTCAGATAAAAAATTTTGAGTAAATTAAGATAATAAATAATTTCAATAATTAGAAAACTTTTCAGTTCAGTTCATTGCTTCATATAAAATTAATCTGCGATAATAATTTTTACAATTTATACTAATATCTAATGTGGTTTAGAATTATTAATACATACTCGTTATTTTTTTTTTGTTTTGTTCTAATATCCGAATAAATTAAAACACAACAATTTGAAATAATATTTTAACTATAAAGAAAAGTTTAATATATTCTTTCTAATTATAAAATTAATTTGCAATAATAACTTTTTCAATTTGTTCTAATATGCAAGTAAATTAAACCACAACAACTTAAAATAATATTTTAACAATAAGACAAAGTAGAATAAGAAAATCGTTAAATATAATAATTATTTAAATTATATTTGTTATTTATTTATTAAATATCGCAAAGAAAACAGTGCTTTTTATAATATTTTTGGCAATAACAATGTCTAATTATTATCTGATCTTTGACACCGAAAAAGTTCGATGTTTAAATAACTGTAGCTCCAGTTTTTGAAAAGATTTCTTTTTCCTATATATCCACCTTTAAAGAAAAATAATTCATTATACGTTGTGAAATTATTTAATAAGGTACACAAGGGTAATTTCGAAAGTAAGGGCTTCTAGTTTTTTTAAATACGAAAAAACGTTTTATACAAAAATAAAGTTTATATCGTTTTAAAGCGTGAACATTTGTCTATTTTTCTACATAATCGCCATTTTGGTCGATGCATTTTCATATGCGCTGTGGCAATTTTTGCATGCCCATGTCATATTGGCTCGACGTCTTGTCGTATTAAATAGACTAAAATTTATTGCCAATTGACAAAAAGTGCATAGATATCAAAAACATCTTCAAATGGTATAGGGTATTTCTAGCTTATCGTACTGAAATTCACAACAAACAGAAAAGCCAGAGACCATTAATTTCTGACAAGACAGTGGCAAAGGTTGAGTAAACTATGCGTGAAGTTCGGCGAATCACTCTTAATGATTTTTTCATTTTAGCTATTAGTCTTTCCCTAAGCACAATTAATTGGATTTTACCGGAAAAGTTGAAATAGATCTACACAAGATGGAATTTGCGATGTGGCGGGGAACAGGTATTACAAGGCCATACAAAAGCTGCTACAGCGCCTAGAAAAGTGCACTGATCGAAATGGTGATTATGTAGAAAAACAGATAAATGATCAAGCTTTTAAATAATATTAACTCTATTTTTGTATAAACGTGTTTAAAAATTAGGAGACTAAGCTTTTGAGATTACTCTCGTATATACATAATTTTCGAACAAATACTGTCATGTATGCTGTCCTTGATACCATTGCAGATAGCAAAACCATTTTCAAATTTCAAAACAAAAACAGAGACAACTTCGAATGTCGCTACATAAAAGTTTTTTATTGTAGACAATAAAAATTATTAGCATCTTGACTATCTTTTCAGCTAATTTAAATTTATTTGGTAACTTTCTGGTTAATTTTTAATAAACTATTAGTGACAGGGTGAATTGCAGAAGTGTTCGCAGTGTCGAAGTTTTATATTTAACTACAAACTAAGAAATGTAAGAAATAAGCATAAAATATCTGTGTCTCAACTTTTGGTGAAGTGAAGCATAGTTAGCCGATTAAGACTTTATAGTGGATGGCTCAAAAGTATTCTCAAGGTCATATGGATATCAAAATGCATTTGTTTGCATAAAGAAATTACATTTTTACGATAATGTGCGTTCTACAAGACATGTAGAAGAACATCTCAGATGCTGCTTACAAAAATGAAATCTCTTAAAATTGTAAAAGTGGAATCTTGTAAAATTAATATAGAATTCATAATATTTCTGCATGTGGTAATTCACAAACGAAAGCTGCAGTTTTTACAATTATATCATTTAAATATATATTTATTTCGGAATAATTTTTAATTTTATTTTGAATACATATATGTATATTTCTGTTCTAAAAGTAATGGTTTCGTTTACTGATACTTATATTCTCTTATTTTTTATATAATGTTAAACTAAAACGTTTTTATCTTACTTTTAAAGAAATATTTCAACTAAATATATATTATAAAACATAAACTTATAAATTTTTCAGATTAATTATTTTGCGTATATTTAATTGTGACATTTAAATAGGTACATTATAGTGCACCCGATAGAAAAATCGCCTGAATATAGAGATAAAAGTGGTAAGTGGAAGGGATATACAGGACAAGTTGTAAACCAAGTAAGTAAACATAAAAATCGAGTGTTTAAAATAAGTTAATGTGCAAAAAGCTAATTTTACAATGAAAAATATAAAAATCATACATAGATAATTTTTCTAAGCCACGGAAAATAGGAACATTAATATAAATATATCATTATTCCACTACAACAATTAAACATTGCACCCCAAAACATAAACAGTTGTCAAAAATCAAATCGAGCTATATAGAGTAAGGAACGTATATGACTGGAGATGCCATGTAAGTCGCAGCATAATGTTGATTGATTGATAACCAACGTACAGTTATAATCAAACACGAAATGAAACCCAAATATAATGTGTTAGTATGCAAATAAAAGAAAAATTTTACAGGTATTCATTATTAAAATAATAAGCATTGTTTAAATGGATTTAAAAAATAGATTGTTAACAAAGTAAACATTTACTTAAAAATACATTTTAAAAAAACAATATAATTTACTACTTTATAAATAATTTTTTTATTATAAATTCAATAAAGTTAATATCTTGGACAGAGGTCAAATTTATTTTAGTCGAATTGTATATTATACATTGTAATTTCTCATATCCTTTAAAATTACGTAAGCTGTTCCTTTTTTACAAACTTTTTCCATTGTTTTCGTAATTTGTGGTCACACCATGCAAATTCCAGCTGCGCAAGAAAGTGCAACGGCGACGGCTGTTCCCTTAACTAGTAAACCCCTTTTAAAAACTGGCACAACTGCAACTACGTATTAAAAAGTTTAACTGGCTAAAATTCCATAAACAGTCTGAAGTAGAAGGTAGAATGCGTCACAACAGTAGTTAAAAAAAAGTACTGTAATTTTATTAGTATATAGGGTCACGTTTGTCCATGTTGCAACGTAAGCGGATAATGTATGACCACGAGAAAACGTGAGTGATATGCTCTTGTTGCAGTTGTAATCGCCTGCATGACTGGTAATCACAAGGTGTTACCACGTCCTGAGTCTTACTGTTATAATTTAACATTTGGTTTGTAGTAATGTTTATAGGCATTTTTCAGTTTCCTTAAATACAGTAGACCCCCTATAAGACGGGTTCCTATAATTCCGATTCCTATAAGACAGTGAAAAAATTGTGGTGGTATCCGTAAACAACGGTAAAAACACTTGTATAATTCGGTAAAACGTCATCGGGCAGCCGAACTATTTTCCGCCATCCAGCGCCACGCTACGGACAGTTTAGGCGAGTAAATTCAGTTTAGTTTTGTCTGTACATATAATTATATATAAATTATATATAAATTAGGTACTTCACATATAATTATATATAAATTAAATACTGTATATATAATTATACATTAACTTAATTTATTGTAACTTTATTATAATTATATATACGCTTTCCGCTGTCTAGCGAAAAGTTTAGGCGAGCTATCGTGTGTACAGTATGTAAATTAGGTACCGTAAGTCTAATACAGTACTGTAATTTTATACATTTCGTGTAAATGAAACATTCCTTATTCAACGGCGATTAAAATTATTTACATTAATGATGATTCAACGAAGTTTTCGCAGAAAAATAAGTTATTAGAAATCGGCCGCTGTTTGCTGAGCAGTTCCGTGACGAAAACAAGCTTAACAATGGCGATGTCGAATGGTGCACACTTGGTAAGTAATCCTACAATTTTTTGTTTATAGCGTAGTTTATACGGATTATTTCCAAAAAATATATACCTATTTTGAAAATTTTAAGTCGGATTAGTCTCCAATCGATTAACTTTATGTAAGAAAACTTTTCAAACAGCCGTAGTCCGTAAAGTGCATACATGTCAGGCTGTGATTGGAAAGGACTCGTAAGAAATCGATTCATAAAGGACGAAACATGTCTACAGTCTTATAGGGGGTCGACTGTATTGCATAACATGTAAGTACTACTTTTTTCTTCCTGTATCTGTTGTAAATTTATAGATAATTATCATTTATTTTTTACATAATCGTTCCACTGCTTGTTATCTGAAATCTGGGTTTCACATCGAATGAATAAAAAACAAATATCAATTTTTGGACATGTTAATCCTAAAATATCCTTAAAAATCAATACTAAATGTATAACAGTTTGAACAGCACAACAATTTAATTTCGCATTTTATCAATCAAAATTTCAAAGTACTTGGACTTCGAACTCAAATGTGAAATTTAAATAAATACTTGGCTTTATTTCCATTACTTTTTAGTTGATATCAATTAGATAAGCTGGACACATTATTCTCGGGATGGAGGTTGCCGTTTCTATAATTAAAATTTTCTATGTTGTTTTTGAAACCGTGTTTATTAAATATTAGTAAAATTTAGTCTTCGAATTAAAATGCAAGTTTTAAATAAACACTTGGCTTCAAACAGAACATAAATAATTTTAATTATAGAAACGGCAACCTCCATCCAGAAAATAATGTGTCTTGCTCATCGAATTGATATTAACTAAAAAGTGATGAAAATAAAATCAAGTGTTTATTTAACACTTACATTTGAGTTTAAAGTCCTATATATTTACTAAACACGGTTTCAAAAACAACACTTTATAGTACATTTATTATGACTAACTTTTATAATTAATTTTCTAATTCAGGAAGCAGATGTGTGCTTTGTACCTGTAGGCGTCACTCATGAACGCTTCTCTGCAATGGAATTCACATCCGTTTTTGCTTTTTATCCTATGGTTTTTCTTATTAAAACTCTGGATAAGGTTATTGATTGGAATTCTGTGACGAAGCCTTTTACCTTAAATGTAAGTAACAAAAACGACTCTTAAAATATAACTAAGTCATACATTAAGTTATATATTACGGAATCAGGTTTGGATCGCTATATTTTCTATTGTATTGATATTTGGACTAACGCTATATAAAGTGCTAGAGAAGGACTTTGTCGCTGCAAAAACAGGAAAACGATGGACTCTATGTACAGTTTTTTGGAATTTACTTTGCACATTTTTGTATCAAGGTAAAATTCTTAAATTATGATATAAATCAAGCTTTGAGTTTTATAAAGAAAAATTTTGTAATTCAATTTAGGATTGAATCTAGAAAAAATGAAAAGATTTGCGCCCAGATTCATGACAGGAATTTGGTGGTTATCGATTGTTGTTTTAGTATCCAGTTACAGCGGGGCGTTAATGTCTTTTATGACATGTCCTATAACTGAGTCTTTTCCTAGAGATATACACGAACTTGCTGTCTTTGCCCGCAATGGTGAGTTCTCAAGCGGAACATACAAACGATTTATTGGGTGGAAAGAAATGATGGTAAGTGTTATGAATTTGAAGATTTATACTCCCTGTATAGAAAGATGTTCTTTTCAGTGTTTTTATTCTGTTTTTGTTAATTTCAGAATTTGTTCTTTATAACGATTGTGTTTTATATTGATATAATTATTAATTCTAGGAATCGAAGTCGGAAAATATTAAAATTTTAAGGAAAAACATTCTGTCCAATAATAACTTCATGAGTATTGCAGAAGGCATTAAAAAAGCGAATAATGAACGATTTGCATACATAATGCATAAAGTTGCATTAAATATGTACATCAGTAAAGTAGAAAGGCATAAATACATTATGTCAAAAGATTCTTTTCGTACATACATGATCGCTTTTCCAATCAGAAAGAATTTTCCATTTAAGAAGGATCTATCTAACACGTAAAAAATTTTTAATTGATTTATACTCTATACCGTACTTTATATTAATTTTTATATATTTGAAACAATTTTATTGCAGAATAACTCGCATGTTTGAAGCTGGAATTTGTGAGAAATTGTTTTCTCAAGAAGTAGAAGAATTTCAAGAAGCATCAGAATTCCAACCGTTGTCAATCGAAGATATTAAAAGTCCTTTATTACTTATGGGCATTGGATATCTAGTGTCTTTAATCTGCTTACTCATTGAAATAATATTGAATAAATTAATTAAAATGGTTACTTGCAATCCACTTTACTAATGTAAAATTATTGTATTTAACTATTATTGAGTTGATCTAAAAGTAAGTTCGTTTTTTCCGTGGAAAAAACGCAATATTCTTATTATAAATAAATATTTTATTGAATTATAAGTTGACCATTTTGGTCAAATATCTGTTGCCATCGTTTCTGGTAGTAGCACCATTTCACATTCATAAAAGTTTTGATCGTTGCTTACAAAAAACCGATCCAAGTGATTTTTGACATTGTCATTTCAAGTAAATGTCTTACAGTTAAAAAAATTCTATAGACCGGAACAAGTAATAATTTGAGTGTGCTCGATCTGGCGAATACAGCTGGTGTGATAGCACGTCCCATCTAAGTTATAACAGTTTCTAACCAGTTACCAAACTTGTGTGAAATTTGACATTATTGTGGTAAAACACTACAGCTGTTTTTTTTATCAATTCTGGCCGGCTTTTTCTGTTTGATGATATTACGGAATTTGTTTACTCGAATGCGGTACACTTTCGAATCAATTGTGAAATTGTCTGGTAAAAGCTCCAAAAAAAAAATTCCTTTAATATCCCACCAAATAAGGCATTTCTTTTTTTAGAACTCGTGGAATTCATATATCGAGCTCTGAAACGAAACCAATTTGTTTCAAGTACTCATAAACAGTTCAATTTGACAAATTTAATCTCTTAGTGATTTCACGAGTTGTTATTCCGCAGTTTGCTTCAATCGGTACTTTTATTTTGTTTTTATTGGCTTCAATTGGCCATCCATAACGTGGTGCATCTTCGATACTGAAATTGCAAGAACGAAATTTTGTAAACCAGTTTTGGCACTGTTGTTTTGTCAACACATCTCCACCATGCATGTCAGACGATTTTTTTCTTGCTTGAACGGCATTTTTATTTTTTTAGTAATAAAAAAGCAAAATATGCCGAAGATGCTTCTTTCGATCTTCTATATTTGATGGGACACAAAAAATACACGATTGCACGAAATCAAACAAAATTTTCTACAAATAAGCCATAAAATCCTAGCTGTCAAAATATATTATGATAATACGGTTTAGGACGAAAATGGTGAAAAAAATACGACTAATCCATCTAGTGGTAAAAAAAACGAACTTACTTAAAAAATTAACTGCAAAATTATTATATTTTTAACTTAAGAAAATTTAGAAAGAAAATTTATAGTTTTATCTTCTAGTTTTATTGGGTTGTTCTTCTGAACAACCCAATATAATAATTTTGCTGTTAATTTTGACGAAGAGAAGATAAAACTATAAATTTTCTTTCATATTTTGTCTATTAATTATACTCAATAGAACAAAGCATTGTATAAGTAATTGAATATTTTAAATTTTATTCTAGACAGAGCAAAATTCTACTTTGCATTACATACGAAAAATTCGAATTTACTACGATATTCATATTAACTGATTCTGAATATGGTAATTCATAAAAATAATAATTATATATAATAATCAATTTTACAATTTTCTAGTTTAAAGTGTATCTTATTGCATAAATTTGATATAAGAAAAAAATATCGCGAAAATTTCAAAGAAGCACTTCCATTGCATGGAAATTTTTCGAAAATAATATGGATTCAGAAATATCTTCTGTTGGATAAATCAGTGTATTTGAAATATTTATAAACTTCACGTATCGTAAATTACACTATCTTTCTCATAAAAATTAATTACTCGTTAATTACATATACTATAAACCAACGTATAATATATTTATAATATTAAAACATACTTTCGTTTATTGTAAAATAAAATTTTGTAATTATGTACACTTAATAAGAGTATAAAATAAACGAAAATTAATGTTACAGTTCAGTTGAAAATTTGTCATTATTAATTTGACGTATTTGTTTTCTTATGATTATCATTTAATTACATTTTATCGATAATAGAAATGAGAAAACACTTGCTAATTCGCTCCATGCTAAATAATAATTATTCTAATTATAAGCCGATAAACACGATATAAAGCAAAATTCAGAGCAGTTTAAATTTTAATTACTTATGTAAATTTAACTGAAAATTTCTCTGTAGAAAAAGATTAAACTAAATTTAAAAAATTATCTTAGGAAATCACACGGGCTATATGCTGACAAAGATTTCTCTTCATAGGACTGTATGTAGGTGTCAGCCAATTCGATTTACTCGAAAATATCTACTCTCCCAAGTGTGAAAGCAGAGAAATTATTTTTTGGATACTGGCAAAAGATTTTAAATTGAAAGCATGCTTTTACTGTAACTTCATAGTTAATTGTTAACAAGTCTGTACCAAACAGAAAATCATTTTGATATATATGACCAGAAACAAACACTTTTTTAAAATACTACTTGTATTTTCATTNTTTCTTAGCAGAAATGAACTCTTAATTAACAAAATTCAAATTTAGATAATTTATAAAAATGTACTTCTACAAGTGAGTTTAGGTAAAACAGTTATATTAAACAATGGCATTATTAGCAGAAAACAGCAGTTTCGAGATATTTCAAAAAAAAAAAAAAAAAACGTTACACTCGTCTGAAGTGAAATCGCAATACAGTATTACGAACGAATATGCGTAGCCAGGTGTAAGTTTAAAACTTCATAATTTTTATTCGAGGAATAAATAAATAAATACTGTTTGGAAGAGATTGGTTGTTTGTTGCCGTATGTCTTTATTGAGCATTCTGTATTTAGTTGGGTACCTCAACTAAATTTTCGGTCTTTCCCTAGTTAGTCAGGTGGAGTTTTTTGGGTTTCTTCCATCTTTTCTCTTAAATGAGAGCCAGCTCCCTCTGAAGTATTCCTGGAAGGCTACTGATTTTCTACCCCTATGGTGTGTGGTACTTTTATCGTATCAAAATTTTTATTCTAAATTCGCTGGAAATTGTTATAGATTGCTCACTGCTGCTTTCTTTTCTTCAGCAGTTTTGAGTAACGCCAATGGACTAGCGAACATAACTGGTTCCCGGGGCACGACACTATATTGGTACCCCCTCCCTCTGTAGAAAACAGAATTCTGCATTTAAATACTATATAGCCAAACAAAAAATATGAGTTTAAATGAGTTTAGTACGATTTGATCGGACATGATTTTACAGGTCATTAATGTAAACAAAAAAAAACGAATTTTTTCCGAAAAAAGTAAAAAATAAAAGCGGTTGAAAAATATACCAAACGAAACTACTAATTATTGTATATTAGCAATATTTTTTCATATTTCTATTATAAAAATTTAATTTTATACTAATTTTTTACATAATATAAGTACATTGACTCAAATGACCTTCAACCTGCTCTAAGTTTTATTGCCAGGTTGTAAAACAACTACCTGGCTGCAAGCTGAAAACTAAAGTATTAAAATTACACTTACATTACAGTGATGAGATTCTTTCGTAAACAAAAATGCTGTTTTTGGAGACAGTTCGTACATCAGATCATCGATTATTACGAAATCCCATCCTTGAACAGATTCGGGTACGCCGTACATAAATGTGATATCCTTTCCTTCTTGAAAAACCGTAAATATACGGAGTAACACCATAAAATTTTTGGAGGAGTTTCGTAAATTTAGTTGTGAATCATTTTCCTCACCAATGTGGTTTTTCCAGATTGGGAAAGACTGGCAATTACACAAGTACTGGGATGTTTGAAATACATATTAATCAACCTTGTCAACTTTAGGAAATTTAAAGAATTTATAATATTCCATTCCTGGACTTATCTCTTTAAACATTACTAAAGTTTTCTTATCATTTTCTAAACATATTTTTCTCATTTCTTTTGCACACTGTTCGAACAAACCGTATAATCCATTATATACTTCGTTAATTC